TCTGGTTTGATTTACACTTTCTGAAAACCCACTGGAGGGTCAGCTATGAGGCTGTTCTGACTTGATGGCACACATCAACACCAATTAAAGATTAGGCATTTGCTTTTAGAAAGCTTCATATTATTGATCTTTTTGCTTTCAACACTAATAGCTTGTTACCTTTTAAAAGGTTATTTATTTTCATTTTTCTCTCTAGCATAGTTTTTAATCTCTCTTTAAGTTGCTATTATCTTTCTACAGAAAATACTATAACTAAATATATATACATTCATATATACACATTTATATACATATCTCTTTATATTCTGCCTTAATATCCAATACTACAGTTTTGTGGAGCAAAATAAATTGAACTAGTTCAGAACATCTCCTCAGCTGAGGTAAGATCGCATTGTTCTTAGAAAAGGATTTCTGGGTTATGGGCACAATTTATATGGCATCCTTTCATTGTAATACAATATGTGACTTTCTGATCATCCATACCCTTAATAGCAGTGATAATAAAACTCATTCTTTTCACTATTAATAAGATTCTTAGAACAGAGTAGCTCCTGAATTACTATTTGAGTTGTTGATGTTATGTAGCATTTAGTCGAACCAACCTATAATCATACAGGAGATTTGCCCATCCTTCTCCTGCAGAGCAGCCAGTGGCCTTGAACTGCATGCCTTTGGGATTGCAGCACAGCTTCTTGACACTAGGCCACCAGAGTGTTTGAGTTAATCACCCTCAACTAATGCTCATACTTTCAAACCTAGTTTTAAAGGACTCCATCATTACTATTGTTATGTGCTGTCAAGTCACTTGATACTCATAGCAACCAGATGTACAATAGCTCTGAACCCTGCTCTACCATGTGCCAACCTCATGGTCTCTGACAAACCTACTCTCATTACCCAGTCATAGAATCAACCCATTTCATCTATACTCTTCCTTTCTTACGCTGTCCCTCCACCCTTCAAAGCATGATGTTCCTTTTCCAAGAATTGGTCCCTCCCTGCAATATGCCCAAAGTATATCAGATGAAGCCTCAAAATCCTTGCCTCCAAGGAGCAGCCTGGTTTCACCCTCTCCAGGACAAATCTGTTTGTTCTCCTAGCAGTCCATGGTATATTCAACACTCTTCTCCAGCATCAGAGCTCAAAGGCATCAATTCTCTTTCTATCATCCGTAGTCACTGTCCAGCCTTCTGATGCATAACAAGCAACTGTGAAGACTAAGGCCTGGATATGGTGAACCTTAATCTCCCGACTGACGAAAACGCTACCATCATTACTATCAACCTAGTTTCTTTTAACTCTCATATGTTAAGACTTTTGTAATAGCTAAGTGTTTCCTTTCTCTGTTCTCATGACTGCCTCCTGGTCCAAGAATAGGTTTCATATAATCATAGTCAAGTGTTCTGGGATTCCCATTCTTCTAAGAGTCAGCCACAGTTTGCTGTCATCCATACGTAATCAATGAAACACAGACAGACATTCCTCTGGTACTCTCTGCTTTCAGGCAAGATCCATCTAAATTTAGCTATCATATCCTTAGTATCATAGCCTCTTCTAAACCCAGCCTGCACATCTAGCAGTTCTCGGTTGATGTGCTGCTCCAGTTATTTTTTTGATAACTTTCAGCAGAATCTTGCTTGCTTGTGATATTAATGATATTGTTTGATTTGAATGGGGTGGGGTACAGATCTCATCCAGTCAGTTGGCCAGGTGGCTGTCCTACAGGTTTTTTGCACAACTTGGTGAGCACACTCAGGGCAGCATCTGTTTGCTGAAATATGTCAATTGCTGTGCCATCAATCCTGGGGCCTTGTATTTCATCAATTCCTTCAGAGCAGCTTGAACTTCTTCCTTTACCACCACAGGCTCTTACACATACCTAGTTTCATGAAATTCTTCTGTGTTAGCCAATTCCTTTTGGTACAGTGCCTCTTCATGCTCCTTCCATCTTCTTTTAATGTTTCCTGGATTATTTAATACTTTGCCCAGGGTATACGCCAGGGATGTGTCCTATCTCCATACCTTTTCAATCTATATGTGGAAAAGATCATCCGGGAGGCTGGGCTCCATGATTATTAATGTGGTATCAAGAGTGGAGGAAGACTCATCTAAAATCTGCATTATGCAGATGATACAACCTTGCTTGGTGAAACTGAGGAGGACCTGAAGCACTTGCTGTAGAAGGTCAAGCACTTCGGCCTTCAATATGGCTTGAAGCTTAACATCAAGAACACAAAGATTCTCACCATGCGCTGATTGGCAGCATCACGAGAGATGGTGAAGAGACTGAGATTATGAACAGTTTTAGTTTGCTTGGCTCCACAACCAACACTCTTCACACCAGCAGCCAGGATATCAAAAGACAAATTGCATTGGGAAAGTCTGCTGTCAGGTACACCTCCAGGTACTGAAAAGCAACAATGTCAGTCTGGAGACTAAGGTGAGCCTGATCCTGGCAAGTCTTTGCAATTACATGCTATGCATCAAAAAGCTAGACAAAGACTTGGGATGACAGAAAAAGAGTTGATGCCTTTAAGCTGTGGTGTTGGAGAAGACTACTGAATATACCGTGGACTGCCAGGAGAACAAACTGGTATATCCTAGAGAGGATAAAACCTTGCTGTTCCTTGGAGGCAAAGATCTTGAAGCTCTGTCTGACATACTTTGGGCATTTTGCAAGGAAGAACCAGTCCTTGAAAAGGGACATTATGCATGGTAGAGTGGAAGGACAGAGCAAGAGAGGAAGATCCATCATGAGATGTATTGATTCAATGACTAGGGTAATGGAGGTAGGTGTGTCAGAGACAGTAAGGCTGACGAAGGATAGAGCCAAGTTCAGAGGTGTTGTACATAGCATTGCTATGAGTCGCAGCAGAATTGATGGCACATAACAACAACAACAACATAGCTAAGTGGAACCACTTGAATTGCCCAACCATTCCATGTCCCTTGGCACATCTCACAGTATTTGCACTGCTGTTCCTACTCTATCTAAAGTGCTCTAGAACTCAATCCATCTGTAGGCCCACCATGGGTCCTTCCGGTTCTCGTGCCAGTTCTCATTTTCTCCATGGAACTGTATGTATCAGTCTCAAAGTTCTCTTTTCCTCTCTTGAAGTAGGCTCTGTGCTCGTCACATTATTTCTTCGGTTTATTTTCCCATCAGATTTCAACATCCATGAAGGTCAGATAATCTGTGTTCTTATCATTTGGTTCACTCAGTTTAGCAAAATGGTATGTACAGAACTGGTGCTCCATAAACTCGTGTTGAGTGCATGGCCACTGATCATTATGCAAATGTTATTTTACTGGAGATCACAAGACCTTCTGATCCACTGAGTACTATGTGCTCCAGTTTGTAATCATATCTCTTTTGGACTCTAAGAGAAGTCCTACAATTCTCTTTTCCTGTTGGGAAAATTGAAATTCCTCAATTCCTTCACCAGATCTGTCATCAGGGGTCCGAAGAAGCATAGAAAAGTATGCCTTGGGTATGTGAAATAGTGATTCAGATAAAATACGCATTTACTTATATTTAGGTACTAAATTGACTCAGAAATGACCATTAAATAATGGCTGATAAAGTTGAACAAACCAACGTATACCGTTTGTTCTTTTGGAAAGAACATGGGATCCTTTTAAATGATTTAATTCAGAATAATTCCAGCTTTAAAATCTTCAAGTTAAACAACTTAAAAACATAGCATTGAGTGTCAGAGGTGGAATATAAAAGATAATGCATTGTGTGTTTCCACTGAGAAAAAGTGAGTAGGAAAAGAAAATCTATAGTAAAAAAATGACTAGTGGTTGCTTGGTGTTAGAGATAAGAACTGGAATCCTTAATAGGAATGGGAGACTACAGTGATGATTAGGAATGTATGTGAGGCAGATCCTGTAGTCATTCCATTTTTCGGCTGAATATAAAAAATGAGCTGAAATAATACTTTCATAAACAGTAAGTGGAAACAGTACATTGCTGTATCATTTGGAGACTGATCTTGAAAACATTTAAAATATGCTAAAACTCAGTAACTCGATATTCATTTAACTCAGCTCTAGGTTTACTGTTTACTCTCTTCAAAAACAACCAAAAAGTAATTGAATAATTTATTGTTCATGCCAATTATCACACTTTGTTTTTTTAATCTGAAACTTTTATTTCCTTCCAAGAAAAAGTTCTTTTCCGTTCATAAAATAATCAACAGGAACATTAAATAGAAGTAAAAATAAGATATCAATTCTCTCTCTGCTTCTTTAAGAAGGTACTTCACATCTCACCAATAAAATAATTTGACAACATAATTCATTTAACTTAAATTCCACAGCAAAAAAAATGTGATATTCACTAAATATCGACCATTAATAATCAAACCTTTACTGGCATTTTTCTATAAGTAAAACACTGAGTCAATTCCATTTCTCACCCTCAAATAGGCACCCCAGTGGTGAAGTAATCAAAGCCCTTCTACGTTAACTGGAAGACCACTGATTCGAACCTCCAGCCACTTAGCAAAAGAAAGCTATCATACCCAGTTTCTGTAAAGCTTAACACCTTGGAAACCTTGTGAGGTAGTTCTCTGATCTATGCATCTAAACCGGCTTGACAATGGCTCATTTTTATACTTTAAGCCTAGCTAGTCTAAGATGTAGCAGACAAGAAGAATGCCACCAATGATTCATAAAAGACTCACTGTCAAGGGAATGCCAGAGAGCTGGTGAGGATTATTAAGTAACAATGACACTGAGTGGAGTCAATTTGGGATGTGTCGAGCAGCATACACAAAGCTTAGAGCAGCCTATGTGATTCCAAGATTTCAAATGAACTGAAATCAAGAGTCAAGACTGCTTGTTAAGCAAAAGTGAGGTCAACATTTTTGCTGCTTTAATATTTTTGGTTGGGGGAGGTGGTGGGGGCTAGATGGAGATAAACTTTTAAACTTTGGTGTGATGTTTTCTTTTCCCCCAAGAAAGAAAAACTATCCAAGGAAACAGTGGATTACCTCGAACCACCTCTTCCACAGACTCTGTGGTGGTGGTGGTGGTGGTGGCGATGCTGGTGGTTCTCTCTGTAGCCTCTTCATAGGGTTCCTCAGCCTCTTCTTCCACCTCATCACCATCCTCATCATCCTCATCGTCCTCAGCTTCTTCATCCTCAACGTCAGCCACTTCCTCCTCCTCTGCCACTTCTACTACTTTGTCCTCACTGCAACAAGAAACAGACATGAAGGTAAGTTACACATGTGTCCCTTAGTATATATGCTCAAGTCCTGGGCCCTGCTCTGAAGATGTAATCCTGGTTGGAAACTGGGTTTTTCTTTGTCACATTAATTAGGCCATATCCCAGTAGGGTGCATCCTAAAATTAATCACTTAAATTATAAAAAGAACAAAGGACACAGAAACACATGCAGAGAGAAGAGGAAAGAGTGGAGCAGAAAAAAAAACACCAAAATAAACCACCAAGAAATGCCAAGGCTACCAACGACTCAGGGCTGAGCTCTGGTGGCCTAGAGGAAAGGAGCTATACTACCATCCCAAAGGTACATGATTCAAATCCTTCAGCTGCTCTATAGAAGAAACTTGAGCTATCTCCTCCTGTGCAATTTGGTGTCTCAGAAAACCCAGTGGAGGGTCAACTATGATCTGGTTCCAACTTGATGATACTCAACAACAATCACCAGCACCAAGGCAGATCCTACTTAAGGGGCCATGCTTTGATTTGTAGTTCTAATTTCAAAACAGTGAGCCAATGAAATTCTTGTCTTTAAAGCCACTCACTGGTGGTAGTTTTTATTACGTAGCACTAGTACGGAGTGCTGGTGACCTAATGGCAAGAAGCTGCACTGCAATCTGGAAGGTACATGGTTTGAGTCAACCAGCTGCTCTGTGGGAAAAGGACAGGCAATCTCCTCCTGTGTGACTAATGGCCTCTGAAAACCCGCCAGAGGGTCAGCGATGGGTCAGTTCTGACTCAACGGTACACAACAACAACAAGTAACTAGTAGTATCGTACTAGATAGTAACTAGTGATTTTACGGCACCTACTCAATTACACATTAACAACAAAACAACAGTAGCACAACATTAAGACCTATGTTAGCAAAGGATTAAAAAAAACATCAAATTTTGGTAAAATGACAGAACGTATAGTATCAAAGAAAAAATATGTGCAAGATGTGAAATCAG